TTGTTGTTGTTGTTGTTTTTATTAAAATGAATGCATGTGTTTTTGTTGTAGGCTAATGTTTATGTATTTGTTATATTAAACATTGTTATATTAGATATTGTATCAAAGCATAAATAAAACAAAACATAAATATCAGATAATATAAGCGCTATTAATTACTGTTGTCAAACGATTAATCGCATCCAAAATAAATGATTTTGTTTACATAATATATGAGTGTGTACTGTGTATATGTATTATGTATATATAAATACAAACACATGCATGTATATATTTAAGAAAAATATGTTGTTTATATATTAAATATATGTATATATAATAGAAAATATAATAATATAAATATATAAATGTATATACATGTAAATATTTTCATAATATATACTGTATGTGTGTTCATTTATATATACATAATAAATAAACACAGTACACATACATATATTATGTAAACAAAAACTTTTCTTTTGGATGCGATTAATCGCGATTAATCGTTTGACAGCACTACTGTTAATATATAATTAATCTGCATTTGTATCTTAAAAATCAAAATTGCCTGCTCTCTTGTAATAACTGATCTCATTGTGAAAATTCTGTATGTTCAGTATTTTTCTATGATCAAGATAATATTGGACTTAATATTGAAATATCTGCCAAGGTGAGATTCACTTTCTTGATATGTTATATCTTAATAGGCAGAGTGAATTATATGTTTACTGCACTCTCATTTTGTCATTCAAAGTGAGATTTTGTATTCGCAAGGTCTAGTATTATTAGCATTCTATTACATGTAAAACACTGCATATTATGTCCGCTTCTTGACAGCTGTTGTTTCACACTCAACCACTGCATGCCATGTCAAGTCAAATTTTCATTGTAAGATACTTATTATCTGTAGCTTTCCTACAGTACACCAGCTTGGAAACATCATGGTGTAAAAGAGTGGTGGAATGAAAAAAAAAAATGGAAATAAATAAATAAATAAACGAACACACTCCGCATCAGATTTGACATATGCACTATAAAATAACCATTAGCAGTTAGCTACAATCTGAAGTGACAGTCTATCAATAATGTCCATCTGAAAATGGGACAGGTTTGTTGCTGCCTCTAAATCATTGGAGAGTCCATAGAGCTGAGACACAGGCAGGTATAGAAAATGCATTAAGGCGAGATGTTGATGGGAGTGGTGTGAGCGTGGGGACACTTAAAGCTCCAAGGGATGTGACTTTAGCATGCCCTGTGCTCACACACACACACACACACACACACACACACACACACACACACACACACTGGAGTAATAGCTCAGCATTTCAGCTCATCACACTTTACCTTTAAACCTTGTGCTGTGCTGAAAATCCTTAACCCAATTTAGTGTTCCCAACCAAAAATAAAATTTTTGGGGGGTACATTTTATCCCAAAAAAGTACCTATATATATATATTGTTTTATTATTATTATTATTATTATTTTATTTATTTTTTATTTTTTTGTAAAGTTGTTATACTTTGTGTGAGCAAAGTCAGTACATTTTAGTCCATTACAATAACATTGCAATAAAAAAACTAGCATTTTTGAGAAATGGAAAAGCCTTTCTGGGTCAAAATGACCAGAACACCACATGAAGGTTAAACTCCATAAATCGGAGTGTGATAAAGGTAATGATGTTGTTGGGAGTATTTGTGGGAATGTATTTGGACATCGTAACTCTGTGAGATTTCATTTAATATTGATATATGTCAACCAAATGACTTCTATGACAGCCAAGCGTTGTTCAGCTGAAAATTTATGAAAAATGAATATGCATTTTGTATCAAGTTACTAAATTTCAATAGCCCAAAAATGTAATTTCCTCTCCGTCTACAAAAAAAAAAAGAATGAATATATTCACCTGCCAGGAAAAAGCCCTTAATTGGTCTTAATCTTTTATCTATACTGTCGTCACTTTGATATTCTTTAATAAAACTGAATCATTATAGCTCTATTAGTTCTCATAAAAACTGTACTTTTTTTTTTTTTAATAGTAGCACACACAAATCTCTTCTGCCTTGACCTCTGGTTAAGTCTGTGTTTATTTAGTAGACTAATTCAGACCTTTTACCCACCCAACACCCCACTCTCAATTCACACAAACACCCACTTAACTCCGTTTCCTCCTCCCCTTGGTGATATTAGCATAAAATTTGCCTAGGCTGTGCATATGAATGGGCTCTATTCATGAATGAAGTGAATGTGGGCTCACGGAGCTGAGTCAGGGTGGACCCGGGTGCCACGTGCCTTTTCTCTCCTGCTGGTATTAAAGTGGCAGCGTCTGATTGTCTGCTTGCCAGCGGAGCCCAGCCATCTGTCTGCGTGCCGCTCTACTTGGCATAACAGGCTGGCGTTATGGCAACAAGTGTCTTTTTCCGCATTGCCACACTCAAACTTGGCAGCCAGCCTGCCCGTTTGCCCGCCCCCGTATGCAGATAAAGAGCTTATTATGCCGGGCAGTGGGTGGGGGAGCAGGAGGCGGGGCTGCTGATTTACATATCACCGCCGAGTTGACACCCTCCAGATGCAAAACAGCCAAGTAGCAATTAAGGCTGCTTAGTGCTTTTGTTTAGCGCGGTGGAGTGGGCAAGCCGGGCGGGCATCGCTCAGACGCCTCCAGAGGGGACATGTATGAGAATTTCAGCTCGGCACGTGGCTCCTACCTCCCCTCCCTTTTCGTAGCTCGGCACGCGTTCGGCTTGAACATACGCACCCCTGTCGCTAGGTGGTCTGCTGACTTAGGCCTGGCACTGTGAGCTGCTTTCAGGCACAAGTCAGTGATTACATGGATCACAAATACTGATACTGACCTATCACAAATCATAAGCACTACAACAGCCTGCATATTCAGGCTTATTCTCAGTTTGATGCTGTGCTGAACGATATAGCAGTTGTTTTTATACTGACACTTAGTGGCCTGGATGCAATAACGTTGCGCAAAGTTTTCAGTTAATAATAATATTGTAGAAATGTGCTATTCACTGTCAGTCATGATTCATTTATTCCCTGAGCAAAAGTGATCACAAATGTGGAATTATTGAGATTATATATTGAGATTAATTATTGACCCGCCTCTTGTATAAAATATAATAATTCGTTTTTTATTATAGTTTTCAGTTTGATATTATTAAAATGAAAATGAGAAACGGCAACTAGCTGAAATAAAATGTATTTTATTTTATTTCGGTTAAAGTTTATTTTATTTCAAGTAACAAAAATAGTTTTATGGTCTAAGTTTCAGTTAACTATAATAACCGTGGATCCATGCGATGAAATTTCCCTGCTCTTCAGATCTGAACTGGAGAGATGTATGTGCATTTAAACAGAGTGAAAGGTGTATGCCAGAGTTTGCATGTGCACACAATATGCATTGATGAATTGTGGTTTCTGTGTTTCTTCATCTGTTGAGAAGACCTTCCATAGCCACGGTATCGAAAAACACTTACTGCTAATACAAATAACAGGGCAGTATAAATCAGTGGCCAGGAGCGGGCAAGCGAATATTGTGTAATAGTTATTGCGAAATGAAGTGGCATTGGGATCAATACCTCACTATATCTCACTCTGCTGTGGTGGGCCATTGGAGGCCAGGGTCCTCGCTACTGCCTCCACGGGGCACCATAAATCTGTCACTGTGTCTGGATGTATATGTGAGCCTATGCCCTCTTATTAAAAAGAGCCAGTAATTAGCACATTGGCCCAAAGCTGCTTTAATGCACCGACAGGAAAATAAAACCTCGTGTAAAAGTATTGCGCTAATATATGTCATTGTGTGCACTGTAAAAAATATCTTTCAAAGATGTAAATAAAACAAAGATTACTAGTGTGTGTTTTACAAGAAAATAGTATTTTAGGCTTTCTACTTCAACATTTCACATTTAATTAAATGTTAGCTGTTACTCCCTTATATATACATATACACAGTATATATATATATATATATATATATATATATATGTAAATGTGTGTACT